TGGCACTGTGGGTGGCAGAGGCAGGAGGATCCCACATTAAGCCCAGGCTGGGAACTTTATTGACTTATGCATACATAGTCCCTAGTATCACAAACAAAACAAACAGCAACAAACGCCACCCGCAGATGTTTCCTGCCATGCTTAGCGGGAAGGAGGGTGGGAGGTGCTTCTGGATTAGTAGGGCACTGGGTGCTTGTCTGTGTGCCTGTGTTGGCCTCCCGTCTTCATGACCTCATGGAGGCTGCCACAGCACCACCCATCATCACGTCTTCACACATCATTCAAAACCAGAAGGGAGGGCTGCAGCATGGGGTGGGCTCGGAGGACATCTTTTTCTTGGGAAAGGAGCTTTTCCCAGATGTTGCCAGCGGGCTTCCCTCCTTTCCCCTTGGTGGGGTGGGATTGCAGGCCCACCCAGTCTCAAGCCTCTGTAGGAATGCAGGGCTTTCTGTCTGATCAGTAGGGACCTTCTCTGGGCACGGGGACAGCGATGGCGCCCAGCAGGCAGTGATGTTGGCCGCTGTGTGTCCTCGCTTACTTTGCATGTGGTCTGACACCATCAGGGCCATGCCCTGGCCACAGGACTTTCTCCAGCACGTTAGCCACAGGAGTGCATTCTGTGTCCTCAGCCCATGTACCTAGAATTGTCTGTGGGGTGGAGGCCTCGGTCAACAAGTTCAGCACCACGTGACCACCCTGGCCCATGACCAACTCGGACGTCCACTTAAAGAGAGTGGAAGTCTTAGTGTGAGGGTCTTTTCCTGGTGGAGGGGCATTGTGCACTTAAAGTGGTTTTCTGTAAGACTCTGCTATGTAGCCCAGGCTAGCCTTGAACACATGGTGATCCTCCTGCCTCAGCCTTGTGAGTGCTGGAATATTAGGGGTGGGGGCCTGCCCATTAGCTCAGGTGTTTAAGCGCCTGCTGAAGCAAAGCAGCCAGGCTCAGGATGCTGTGGTCCGATCCCCTCATCCTCAAGCCAAACCAGACCTGCCTTGAAGGCATCCTGAGCGCCTCCCCCAAAAAAAGGAATATTAGGGGTGTGCCATCTCACCCAGCCTTAGTGATTTTTAGGAACTTCTTTTTCTTTTCCTTTGGGGCAAAGGTCTTGCTATGTTGTCCAGGCTGACCTTGAACTCACTATGGAGCCCAGGCTGGCCTTGAACGTGCAGCAATCCTCCTGCCTCAGCCTCCTGAGTTCTGGGATTATAGGCATGTACCGCTGCACCTGGCTTTTAGGAACTTATCCTGAAGCCGTTCCCACATTTGGCAACAGGGGAGCAGGAGGTGGCCAGTGCTTGTTGGGCCAGGACACCCCAGGGCCAGAGCCAACCTCCAGGACAGAGGGGACCTGAGTTGTGAGGGGTCTGAGCTCTGAGCCTGGCTAGAATGTGGTGCAGCCCACAGTAGTGTCCTCGTTGTGGTCTGGCCCAGCCCGGCCTGGTGCTGCCTGAGAATTGAGGTCCGCAGTTCCCCCAGGCCGGCAGCCTCTTCTCCCCCAGCCCTGTCCCTGGGAGCCCATGGGAGTTGAGCTGCTGGGGTTGGTGCTGCCTGGGGTGCCACTGGGTCTTGGGGTGGGGCTCAGCTTGGTGTCCTACAGTCAGGGCCAGGGCAGACTGTGTCAGAGGTCGGGCAGCAGTGGAGGAGGAAGGGACTCACTGGGAACAAAGGATCTGCCGGACACTTAAAAGCCACCTCCTCTCTGCACGGGTCCGTCCTGTTTCTCTTGGGCCTGAAACAACAGGATCTGAAAGGTGGGGTCGCATCCTGGGCGTGGCCCCCCAGGGCAGCAGGGGCTGCCTGTCCCCCCACAGGGCTGTCTGGGTAAACCAGGAGTGCCCCGTGGTGGGCCGATGCCACACTGCTGCTGCGGTCCGGGGGTGCAGAGTCAAGGCGGGACAGGCTGTATCCGGCCCCAAGGTGCTAGTGTCCCACCCTGGGGACCTGTGGATTTGTGGCCTCAAGAGGCACAGGGGCTTGGTAGTGCAAGGAAGCCTGGATCTGGAGCAGGGCATCCCTGGGCCTTCAGTGGCTCCAGAGCTTAGGGGTGGAGGGACAGAAGTGATGGCACGGGCAAGGGGCTGTGCCTTCTCCTTGCACCTCTGGCTTGGCCAGGCCTCCTTTCCTTCTAGTCCCCAGCACAGCATCCCTGGCCCTTCCACACAGCAGAGCCCGGTACAGCTCCCCTCTCCCTTCATGTCCGTGGGCTATGCTCTTGGGCCTTGGGAGGGGGCTGGGACAGTCACACAGTTGGCTCTGGCGCTGAAGGCCATGTCCTACCGTCCCCCATGGTGCTGTTATCTAATCGGCTGGTCCTGGTGTGCCTGATCTCTGGGACTGCTGGTGACCCTGCTGGTCAAGGATGGGCAAAGTCTGCCCTGCCTGTTGTCAGTGGGGCAGGCTCCCCCCTGCTGGGTGGCCATGGGTCATCTCCCCATGTCTGGGCCTGAGGAACCCTCCCTGCTAGCCTCACTTGGGTGGGGCTGTGGCCCCAACAGAGGATGAGTAGATGGAGGAGTGCACCATGGGGTCTCATCCTTGTCACCACTGTCACATTTGCCAGACCTGGGGTGAGTCAGCGTGGGATGGGGGCAGGGTGGGGCCGTGAGATGAAGTTATCGCAGGGACCAGTGTCCTATACAGAGGACCTGGCCATTTCCCAGGGACAAGGTTGCCCACCCTGCATTGTCCTGTCCCCTGCAAACTGCCTCTGCCCTCCTCTCTGAGGACCATACCCAGCTTTTGACCTGCTCTCCCAGATTCTGCAAGGAGCTGGCTTTGGGCCTTCCTCTTACTCCCTTGCAGTGCTGGGCTGGACCCAGGGCCTCGTGCCTGTCTGGCAAGTGCTCTGCACTGAGGTACGCTCGTGTGCCCTTGTTACATCAACGCAGGTATATTTAGTACGGGGTCTACAGGGTCTTACTATGTAGATCGGACTAGTAGTGATCCATCTGTTTACAGCCTCCCAAGTGCTCGGATTAAGGTGCACACCACCACTCCCAGTCTCAATTGCCGGCTCAGTGCACCCTGGGGATCGAACACTGGCCGCTGCACTCTGTCAACACAGGACTTGCTAAGGAGATCAAAGTGGGCTCATACTTGGAATCTTCTGGAGGCCTCAGCCTCCAGAGTAGCTGGGATTACAGGTGTGCACCACAGCGCTTGGATTGTCTGTGTTTAAAAGCAGTGTTGGTGAGATGTAGTTCCATGGCACGAAGCCCTGCCCTGGAAGCCTACATTAGCACAGCTCTGGCATTCCTTGGAGCCAGATACTGGCCCTACCAGCTGGCTCAGGACCGGCCTTGGCCCTGACAGGTGCCGCACAGATGAGCTGTGATGGTCAGGCCTGGCCGTGCAGAGGATGCCTGTTATGTGTGGGATTTGAACCTGGGCCTTGGAGGCTGCCCTCCTGCTCCCCTCAGCGCTGAGTGGTGGTTTCCACAAAGCCAGACCCTTTGAAGGAAGTAGTGGTGCCCCTCTGTGCTGTTGCCTATCTCCTTCACCCCCAGAGGGCCATTTCTACAAGGCCAGCACCTTAGGTGGCCCCATGTTGAGCCTCCTGTCACTGAGATCTGTCAGATTCAGTTTACCCAAGAGGGAAGGCTCTGTGGGCCCTTGCCCTCACACCCTGACTCTGGGCCCCTGTGGCCACACCAGACACTACATCCACCCCTTGAAAGCAATAGGCTTATGTGGGAGCCCAGAGCAGGCTGGTCCTGTCTCAGGGGGTTACCTTTGATAGATGCAGGTAGGTCTGTCCCTGTCCCTAACTGTCCTGATCATTCTGGGTGACCTCTCTCTTTCAATTTCTCCACCCATTCACATATCCATCCATAAATCAAACATTCAGCTACCACTCACCCACCCACCCACCCATCCATCCTTCCTCCTCCCCCCATCCCTGCATCCACCCATCCACCACTCACCTACTGGTCCACACTCCTGCCTAACACTGTTCCAGCACTGGCTGACCCTGGGCCCTGGTGTCTGTTCACAGCACTGGGACTATTACAGGCCTGGTTTGTATCCAAGGAAGGTGTTACCGGAGGGATGTTGTTGGGGAGCGTGGGCCCTTTTGGCAGAAAGCAGGGAGGCTTCTCAGGTGGGAAGGGCCAGCTGTGTCCCAGGCAAAAGGTGACAAGCAATGCACCGGGGCAGAGTAGAACTGGCCCCGTGGGCTGTGTTTGGCGGGGTGGAGGGCGTAGTTGCAGGGCAGCTGGGTCCAGCTCTCGCGACCGCTCCAGGAAGCCTCAGACTCCTTCACCGCCTTCCGGTCTCAACACCTCTGCAGCCCTGGTGCCTCTCTGAGATGTGGCTGGCCCACGGGCCGAGGAGCTGGCCACGCGGGGCTGCTGTGCGGTGTGAATGGCCTGGCACCAGGGTGGCCAGGGGAAGGCCCCGGCTTTCACCTCGGCAGGGCTGGCTCCCTGCCTGTCGGTGCGCCGGGCTCACACTCGATGCGGCGTCACCAGCCACGCACGCCAGGGGACTGAGCTCCGAGACAGCCGCCTCGGGAGCTGGGCCCAGCCTGTCCCAACCACTCCCGCCTCCCACCTCCTCCAGGCCTGCCCCTGTGGCTTCTGGCTGGCCGGACAGAGTGGGAGTGAGTGTCCTTGGCCTGGAAGGCTGTGTTCTATGATAGCACGAGGTGATGCAAGCTGCCCTGCCTGGCCACCCGGCCTTGCAACATCTGCTCTATCTGATGGGTGGCTCGTGGGCAGGGTATTGTTCTGTCTGCCCGCCGCCTCCAGGAGTAGCTGCTCGCTGCCCCCGGGGCCTTTGCACCGGCTGGGGGCGCACGCCACTCCACTGCCCGGATCCCTTGCCTTACGTGTCTATTTCAGTTTGGATTTGGGTTTTTCTGTTGGAAGGACTTAAGCATCTCAATCCAAACCCTCTTCCTTGGGTTTCTCGTGCCGGGCTGCAGAGGGCAGAGCTCAGTCTCGCGGGGCGCGGCCTCTCCCAGCCTGGTAGCGGCCCTGACCCTCACCCGCCCCCGCAGAACGTGCGCATCGACCCAAGCAGCCTGTCCTTCAGCATGTGGAAGGAGATCCCGGTACCCTTCTACATGTCCGTCTATTTCTTTGACGTTATGAACCCTGACGAAGTGCTGCAGGGCGCGACGCCGGAGGTGCAGGAGCGCGGACCCTACGTGTACAGGTGAGGCAGGTGGGGGGAGGGGCCGTGAGGGACAGAAGAGGGGCCCGGCAGAGGACAGGGACAGGAGGGGACCCCCAGGCAGGGCCTGGCCACTGACCGGAGCCCCCACCTGTCCCTAGGCAGTTCAGGCGCAAGAACAGCATCTCCTTCCATGACAACGACACGGTATCCTTCCGGGAGAATGGCAGCTTCCATTTCCAGCCGGACAAGTCGCGAGGCTCAGAGAGCGACTATATCATGCTGCCCAACATCCTGGTCATGGTAAGGTGCCTGCCCCGCTGCACACCTCTGTCCCCTTGTCCCAGCCCGGGTGCTCAGACCCAGGCACCCTAAGCCCCCGTCCTGGCCAACTGTCCTGTTCCTCCTTCCGGTTGACAGCTCTGGTGTCCCCTAGCCAGGCCTCTGAAGGGCTGTGGGCTGTGGCAGTGCCCACGGCAGAAACAGAGCCCCTGGAGAGCACAGGAGCTGGCAGCAAGCACAGGGACAGAGGAGACAGGTGGCCCTCCAGGGACCTCATCTTCCCACGCCAGAGTGGCCCTGGCTGGGCCTGCTAGCAGCCCCCCTCAGAGCTCTCTGGAGTGGTCATGGATGTCACACATCCAGAGGAAGGGACCTCGCAGTGACCCAGGCCATGTGGCACCCAGACAGCTGAGGCATGTGGCCCCCACCGGGAATGGCAAGGCCCTCTGGTGTCCCCAGACACTGTGGGGATTGTGCACGCCCAGCCATTCCCCTCTGTCATCGGCCTGCCAGGAGCCACCAGGAGATGATGCAGTTGCCTTGCCCTGCCCCCACGTGGGGCTTGGGGTGGAGCTGGGGGTCCTGTTTCTTTTTTTTTTAATATTTATTTATTTTTATTTATTACATTTATTTATTGTGTGTGTGTGTGTGGCCAGCTCAGCCCACCAGGGGGCGGGGCTGCTGGCCTTTGGTGCTGGAGGATCGAACTGCCGTCCCTGTGCTTTGCCAAGCTTGTTTTTCAAGTAGGTGCTTTAGACCACTGAGCCATCTCTCCAGCCCCGGTCCTGTTTCTTGGAAGAGTTTCCTACTAGTGTTTTCCTAACCATTTAAAAATGTGACCAAACACACACCAGCCCTGCCCCCAGGGTGCACTGAGCGGAAGAGTGGGGGGGGGCGCACGCCTGTAATCCCAGCGCTTGGGAGACTGAAAACAGGAGAATCACTACAAGTTCGATCTATGTAGTGAGGCCCTGTAGACCCTGGACTAAATGCACATTTTTTAAAAAAATATGACAGAAAAAAAAAAATTCGCAGCTCACACCAAAACAGGGAACATAGCTGGCTGCATCCTGCAGTGCTGAGCCTGCAGGGTTAGGGAAGAAATCAAGTTTTATTTTATGTCCTTTTTTAGCTTCTTAAAACTATGTGTTGGTTGGGCGTGGTGGCACACAATAGTAATCCCAGCACTTGGAGGCTGAGACAGGAGGATAGAAAGTTTGAGCCCAGCCTGGGCAACTTAGCAAGACCCTGTCTCAGAAAACATTACAGAAGGATTGGGGATGTAGCTTAGTGCAAAGCCTGGGCTCAGCCCCTAATGCTGAAAGCAAGACAAGAAGGAGAAACCCTAGTGATGCCCCCACCATCACCACCACAAACTCAGTGCCTTAAAAATATCAGAGAGGAAATCCAGTCAGTACCTGTGGGGCCAGTGCACTGTCGCTCCTGCTCTAGAAACGGGGGGCAGTGGCTTTTGGGTGTGGGGGTGCCTAAAAAGATCAACCAGCAGCCAAGACAATGTCTCTACAGGGAAAGCACAAGTGATTGAATAAGCCTGCCTTGGGGCCTGGCAGATAGCTCAGTGGCATAAGCACCTGCCTAGCAGGTGCAAGGTCTGGAGTTCAATCCCTGGTACCTAAAAAAAAAAAGAAAATGAAAAAGAAAAGAAAAGAGAAAAAGAAAAAGAAAAAAGAAACAGAATAAACCTACCTGCATCTTAGGGGGGAGAGGGTGGGAAGGGGGGTATAGAAAGGGGCCCCATTACGACTTTTATCTCACAGCACCCCAAGCTACCTCCAGGAAACAGCGAACTTGTGGGCTTGTATAACTGAGCCGGCTGGGGTTGGTGGCGTCAGGTGTGGAGCGCATGGCCCAGGTCCAGGCCCCTGAGGAATGTCTTGTGGTGGCTCCGAGGGTCATGTGCAGCCAGCCCCGAGCCTGGGGGAGGTGGATTCTGCTGGACCAGGGCCGAGCCTCACGCCTGCATCTGCTGGGGCGAGCGTGGGGTGGTGGTGACGGTGGTTATACTGGGGTCAGGGAGGGGCCTGGGTATCCACTTGGCGGGGATGGCAGGCGGTGGCCACCATGCCCACCCGACTGTCCGTGCACAGGCGGCCTCAGCCATGATGGAGCACCGGCCCGCAGGCCTGAAGCTGCTGATGACGCTTATGTTCACCACGATGGGGCAGCGCGCCTTCATGAACCGCACAGTGGGCGAGATCATGTGGGGCTACGACGACCCGCTGCTGGACTTCCTTAACAAGTATTTACCCGGCACGCTACCCTTCAAGGGCAAGTTCGGGCTGTTCGCAGGGGTGAGTGGCCCGGGGCTTCTCCTTGGCTATGGCTTGGGAACAAAATAGGGAATTTAGTGGAAGCTGGGCATGGTGGTAGTGGAGTCCCATGCTTGTAATCCCAGCTTCTCCAAAGGCTGAGGCAGGAGGATCTCAAGTTTGAGGCCAGCCTGAGCAACATAGTGGTGTCACGAGAGCCCGTCTGAGGATAAAACAGAAAGGGCTGGGGCTGGAGCTCGGAGGCCAGGGGAGCCTTGCCTAGCAAGAGCAAGGTGCTGGCCACAGTACCGCAGATCAGAGAAAGCAGTGCAGTTAGTGGCCCCCGGAACTGGAACCTCTGGGGCTGGATTTAGGGGCCCCTGAGCCAGGCTTGCATGGGGCTTGGGTTGAGGGAGGGAGGCGGAGGCCGGAGGGTAGGTAGAGGAGAGGCTGCTGGGGGTGCAGTGTGACAAATGCAACTATAGCTGTGATCTGGCCGCTGAGGGTTGGATCCCTGACTTCTGACCCCTGACCTCAGCTCCCTCCACGCAGGACTTAGTGTGTCATGCCAGCCACAGGGGAGCCAGGGAATGCTGCCTTCTGAGTGGAGAGGGCACTTGATGCCCAGGTGCTGGCAGTCTGACGTGCTGTCCGCGTTGTGCTGTCCACACTATGGGCGCTCTTGTCAGCCATGCGTGAGTGGGAGGCCAGCATTTGGTGCTTTTCTGGTGTCTGCGGCACTGTGCTCACCCCTCCGAGGTCTGGGTACCCTGTGTGCTGAGCTCAAAGTTGTGCTCCTCCTGCCTCAGCCTCCCAGAGGGCTGGGATGGCAGGCATGCACCAGTGTGCCCAGCCTGCGCTGTATTTTAAGTGTGGGTGTGGGCACAGCCACCCCTTGGCATTGGGGAAAGAAAGGTGACAGTGAGGTGTGGTGGCCCTGGTCCCCTGGTGCCCAGGGATGGGCCCTGCTGTGACGGCTCTGGGGGCTAGATTCCTGAGGCCTGCTCCCGTCCCTGGACTAAGACCCGCTGTCCCCACTGTTCTCAGCTGAACAACTCGGACTCCGGGCTCTTCACGGTGTTCACAGGGGTGAAGAACCTCAGCCGCATCCATCTTGTGGACAAGTGGAACGGGCTCAGCAAGGTGAGAGGCCAGGCAGGCGGCTGCGTGGCTCGGGTGGGGTGTCCAGCGCTCACCTCACCCGGGTTCCGCTGGGACTCGGAGGCTTCCTCCCTCCGGCCCTCATTTATGGGAAGTCGACTTGAGTGCTTTACCAGGGCTGCAGGAAGCCATTCCCATCAAGCAGTAAACAATGGCGATGGGATCCCGTCCCTTGGCGCGCTGACCCTGCTGGCTGACCCCTCCCTGGCCGCAGAGGAAGCATGGTGCCTGGTCCAGATGTGTCCCTGTCCATTTCACCTCTGTGCACGCTTGGATGACCCAGAGTGAGGCAACGGGTTCTCCTTTGGGCACCAGGAGTCCCACTGTGGGCCTTGTTCTGCGGGTGACTTGTTTTTATCACCTGGTAGCCAAGTCACAAGATGCATGACCCTGCAGCCAGAGCAAGCCCACTGCCCAAGCTCACCGGCACAAGCGCCTACCTGGCAAGCTCGAGGTCTTGAGTTCAATTCCCAGAAAAAAAAAAAAAAAAAGAAGAAGAAGAAGAAAGAAAGAAAAAAGAAAAGAAACGGAGCTTTGGAAGTTGGGTGTGGTGGTGTGCGCCTGTGGTCCCAGCACTTGGGAAGCTGAGGCAGGAGTTCCAGGCCAGCTTGAGCTGTGTAGTGAAACCCTGTCTCAAAATACAAAAGAAAGTGAGCTTGGAGCCGCCTCGCTCCCCGGATAACAGCCCCAGTCCTTCTGCTTTGAGGTTTCCTAGTGCAGCTCCCACGCGATTTTAGTTGGTCGCCTCCTCCAGTTTTATCTGTTTTGGGGACAAGAGGGTGCAGGTGGCAGTCCCTCTGGACAGTGGCAGTAACAGTTACGCACTCGGGTTCCTGTGCGAGGTGCCAAAGCTTCACTGGAGCTGTGTCTACACAGCCTGCTCTGGAGCCCCGGGGCCGGGGATCGAGTGGCCACGCCCGCCCAGGTGACCTTCCCTCCACAGGTCAACTACTGGCACTCTGAGCAGTGCAACTCCATCAACGGCACTTCCGGGCAGATGTGGCCGCCGTTCATGACCCCTGAATCCTCGCTGGAGTTCTACAGCCCCGAGGCCTGCAGGTGACTGCCCGGGCTTGGCCTCCCCGGCCCGACGGGCTCCTGGGCCCAGTGCCCTCTGGGCTGCTCCGGGGTGCACTGTGGAGCGCTGTGCTCCAGCCCGATGCTTTGGCAGAGGCCAGAGGCAGCTGCGGATGCCGGGGGCACAGTTGGGTGGTGAGGGGCGCAGGGCAGGAAGTAACCAAGTTTGCAGGGCTGGGCGGTGAAGGCAGGAAGTGGCCCTGGTGATGAACTGGGGACAGAGGAGCCTCCCAGAGCCCCACTGGCCGCTCCAGAGCATCCCTTAGGGGGGCCCTGACATGACCCTGACCCTGTGGGGAGCCCTGTTATGTGTGAGGCACGGAGGTGAGCAGAGCCCATGCCCAGGCCATCATGTGCTCTCCGGGGACACCAGCCAGGCCTGGGATATGAGAGTGAGTGTGTGCAGCTCTGAGTGGGCCCACTTTATTTTTTTATTTTTTATTTTAGGGAAGGGTCTACGGGGCGTTCAGGGTCTCACTACTAGATCAGACTCATAGTGATCTGCCTGTTTACAGCCTCCCAAGAGCTGGGATTACAGGTGTGCGCCACCACCCCCAGTCTTGGGGCCACTTTTGAAAACAGTTACTTGATTTTTTTCCTGCTCACCCAGCCTGGAGGGGAGATAGAAAAGAGCGCCCCCCTCCAGGGCCACACCCCCGTGACCTCTGCCTCCTGCTGGCAACCTCTAAAGGACCCCTCCCACCGGGCACTACCCACACCTTGAGCAGGGCACTTTCCACACTGAGCCAGGCCACAGCGCCAGCTTCTCACCTGGCTCCTCTCCTGCCCACAAGGGCCTCTGGCTACCTCCTTCCAGATCACGTGACAGCAGCAGCGGGCCAAGGTTCCCTTTATGCTTAAATACTTCTGTGTGTGTGTGTGTGTGTGTGTGTGTGTGTGTGTGTGTAAGTGCGGGGCTGATTGCTTGAACTAGGATGCTGCACATAATAGGCAAGTGCTCTGCCCTGAACTGCGTCTTTAGCCCTCTTCCGTGGGTGTTGTCTGTAAGCAAAGACGTTTTCTTATGCAATCCCAGGTATTAAAATTAGGGCATTTAACATTAACACCATACCACCATCTAAGCTGCTGCTGTCAACAGAGCTTTAATGCAAGGCATGTGTATTTTTTAAAATTTTATTTTATTTTTTGAGATGGTTCTTGCTAGGTTGCCCAAGATTTCCTCAGGCGACCCTCCTGCCTCAGCCTCCCCAACTGGCTAGTACTGCAGACATGTGTGCTGCACCTAGCTTTGGTACAGCCGTCAACTTTCTGGTAACGGTGTTAAAACGACGTATTTCATTTGACCCGCTGTATTGGCAGTATTCTTATTTCGAGCCCTATCGAAGAGTTTTAGTTTCTGAGAGATCCCGGTGCGTCAAAGACCGGCTGCCTACCTCCGCTCTGACACGGCCCGGGTCCAGGGCTGCACAGCCAGGTGTGATCCGTGGCTACCCTGCGCAGAGAGACCCACCCACACAGTCGGGGTTTCCCGGCAGACGCAGGGATGGAGCGTGTATGGGACCGCAGAGAGGAAGAATTGAGTCTGTCTTGTGAGGCCTCGAGGGGGCAGTGTTCCTGGCCAGAACCAAGCCCAGGCACATACAAAGGTCCCGGGGCAGCAAGGAGTAGTTCTGAGCAGGGGCCTGTGGGGAAGGAGACGGGGAGCCTGGGCAGAGTAGTGAGAACGGTGCATCGCAAGGGAGCCGCGGGCAGTTGGAGGACTGAGTGGGTGCCAAATCCCAGGACGTCTGAGTCGCTTTTGTCGATTGGAGGCGGGACCTCCTTCATGTTTAAATCCCCTCTAGAAGGCCCACGGTACACGCCCACGGTGCGTGCATGTGCCGTAAACAGCCGTGTTTGCTGTTCGGAGAGTAGGAGGAAGCAAACGTCTGTGCACGCAGAGCCCCGCGGTCCTGCAGGTGGGCACATCCAGGTCCCCTCACCTGTCTGCCTCCCGCTGCAGGTCCATGCGGCTCATCTACCAGGAGGAGGGTGTGTTCCAGGGCATCCCCACCTACCGCTTTGTGGCCCCTAAGACCCTGTTCGCCAATGGCTCTGTCTACCCGCCCAATGAAGGCTTCTGCCCATGCTTGGAGTCCGGCATCCAGAACGTCAGCACCTGCAGGTTCGGTATGTGTCACCCCGCAGGGCCAGCTGCAGCCTCTGCACTCTTGATAATCTCATTAGGCCAGAGATAAGGAGGGCAGCGCAAAGACAAGGCTCTAGGGAAAAGCCGCTGTGCTTATTAGAGGCCGCGATAAAATCCCAGGACAGCATCAGTGCGCTATCTTGGGGTCTGGAGTCCGGGGCAGGCTAAGGTCCAGGCACTGCCGTACGTGCGAGGCTGGGATGGGGGCTGGCAGGCTTCCCCAGCTGGCGGAGACACCTGTGTTCCCCGGCCCCTGGCTCTGGCTCCGGTGCCAACAACATCACGTCTCTCAGAGGCACTGCCACGCTCGGCTCCTGCTGTGCCCTGCTCTCCATTTTGTGGACCATGTCAGGCCCACATGGGAGCGCAGCAGGTTGCAAGCCGCTGACCTGCAGCCTTAGCTCTCCTCGCTGCCTGAACTCCTGGGTCCCCTCCAGGGACACTGTGAAAGAGTGACTGTGAAGGGAAGGGCCTTTCCCTGGCAGAACGAGGCCCGCTGTGGCTCACCTGCTCCACAAAACCCTCTGCTGTCTGGAGGCTGGGTGATGTGACGTCACATTCAAAAGCCAAGTCCTTCATCACACTGGCTGTATTTTGACTCCATGCTGGAGATGGCAGGGACAGGACCCTTCCGAGCAGTCCCTGTGCCCACTGAGGTCTTTTCCCAGCCACCCATCCTGGGGGCCGCTCCCAGCTCCCCTGCCAGCTGCCCTCTGCTACTTCATCTTTTTCTCAGACAAGGTCTGGCTATGCAGTTGGGGATGGCCTTGAGCTCACTTTTATAGCCCCAGGCTGAGCTTGAACTTGCAGTGATCCATCCTCCTGCCTCAGCCTCCCAGGGTGCTGGGATGACAGCCACATGCCACACTCCCGGCCGGCTACCTCATTCTTTCTGTCTCCCCCATGCTCATCACTGTGCGGTTCCTTTCGCTTGCTCATCACCTGCGTCCTCTGGGGGACTGTGCTCCCTGGCTGTGCCAGCCAGTGCAACTCCACAGACAGACTTGAGCGCATGCTTGTGTGGTGTCTCCTCCTTAGGGAATAAGGGCCCTGGGCTGCGAGGCTGGGCTCAGGAGGATGCTCGAGAGCACGGGCACAGGGCCCTCCATGGGCAAAGGTTTTGATGCCTGCCTTGCCCGGCCCCAGGCATTATCCTCTCTGTAGGAGTTTTCACTCAGCATGGAGGCTGTGGGGTCGCCTACAGGGAGCTGTGCCAGAACAACTTCTGTGACAAGTGGCAGGTGCCAGGCTTAAAGGACACCACTTGGTGACCAGGCGTGGTGGCACAGGCCTGTAATCCCAGCACGCAGAAGGATCATTGTGAGTTCGAGGCCAGCCTGAGCTGCATAGCGAGTGGGTGCTGTCTGGAAGCTGCCTCTTGCCACGCACGCTCCAGTTTGGTTTTCCCAGCTGGCACAGCTGCCGGGCGGCGCTAAAACCCCTGGTTGCGGGTGGAGACCCCTGGCTCCCACGTATCCAGCCAAAGTGCCAGGGTTCACTTTGATTGGTTGCTCTGTGTCCAGCCTCAGCTCTGAACCAATCATTGTGTGTAGCCCAAGCGAGGCTGTGCTGATTGGTCAGGTGGTATCACATGCTCAGCCTCCAGGGGTGGGGCCAGCATCCTTCAAAGCAGAGCCCAGGGAAGGGGGCTCAGAGGGGCACAGCAGCAGTGAGGAGGAGGGCCCGCGCACACTGCCTTCCCTCAGCACTTCTGCCCCAGACAATCTCAAAAGTGCAAAGGAGTTTACAGATCTTTGAAGAGACCTACTAGACTTAAGCTTTTCTTTCTTTGTGGCGCTGGGAATTGAAGCCAGTGATAGCGTTTCTGTTGCTTTGCTTCTCTGAGATGGGGTCTCAGGATGTAGTCCAGGCTGGCCTCTATCTTGAGGCGGTCCTTCTGCCCAGCTTCCCCAGTGCTGGGCTCACAAGCACGCCCAGGCCTTTAGGTTTTGAGACAGGGTCTCGCCCTGCTACTAAATTGCTCGGGCTGGGCTTGAACCTGTGGCCCTCCTGCCTCAGTCTCCCACAGGACTGGGATGGCAGGCATGCAACATGGCCTGAAGATCTCTTTTTGAAAAAGAACATGAATACGTTTCTTGGCATATTTTGACAATTTTTTAAAATTTTTTATTTGTGTGTGTGTGTGGCTAGCTCAGCCCACCAGGGGGCGGGGCTGACTGGCATGTGGTGCTGGGGGATTGAACCGCGGTTCCTGTGCTTTGCCAAGCTTAATTCTAAGTAGGTGCTTTAGACCACTGAGCCATCTCACCAGCCCCATCTGGGTATATTTTGGATCTACATAAGGACCACATTCATCGCGGGGGTTTTGTGCCTGTCCATGTACATACAGCTCGCTGCTGCTTTTTCCCCGTTGCCCTCTCCTCCCTTCAACCCCTCTTCCCCCTCAATTACAAAAGCTTTGTTTCCATTTTCCCCTTCCGTTTTCTTTTTCTGCCCCTCCTTTCCTTTCCCCTCCCCCTCCCTGGCAGGGGAGCGGGTATTTAACACAGGGCTACAGGGTCTCACCACTACTCATAATGATCCTCCTGTTTTCAGCCTCCCAAGCACCGGGATTACAGAGGCACGCCACCATGCCCAGTCTCAGCCGCCATCTCAGCACGCCCAGAGCGAACCCTGGCCACTGTGCTCTGCCTAAGCAGGCACTTTGATCTGCTGGGTCGGCCCTAGAACCCTCTTATTTTAAGTGGACATCCCAAAAGCGCAGCAGTGCAGTGGACGTAAGCCTGTCGCTTGGCTAGGCCGTGTGTCTCTGTAGCCTGTGATGGCACCTGAAGCCTCCTGCTGGCCCCAACTTCTCTTGCTGATCTGGGGTGCTGGCTCTGCCCGGCTCTGGTCTCTTGATGAGAAGAGTGGCTGTGCCCAGGTACTAGCCTGGCATCTCTTGGGGCACACACCCCCATTCCTTCACCCATCCCTTCCCGGGTGCTTCTGGAACATTCCTGCTGGGCCGCCTGGTGTCCCAGGCACATGTTTTATCTTCAGATTAAAAATCTCCATGCATGTGTTCTGCAAGGCCTTGAAGACAGCTGGGCCCAAGGCCCCCACGCATCTCCACATCTCGGGCTCCCCAAGTCCTAACTTGCCTGGCGGGCTCCTTAGCACTGCTTGCCCTAGTGATTAAGTCTGCTCAGGTGTGCCGAGGAGCTGTAAATCAATTATCCTTATTGCCTGGGCGGGCCTCCTTCGGGGTGTTTGCCCAGGCAGGCAGTGGCATGGGGCGTTGTTCAAAAGCCAGCTCGACTGCTAGTCAGGGAAGGGGGGGCCTGGGCGGTGTGTGTGTCCTCCTGTCCAGGCCTTTCCTGGGGTGTCACATGGTAGAAAGGGGTCTCTGTGCTTGATCTGGTCCCCTCTCCAGTTCTGAGGGGAGGGTGGGACATGCTTCTCCAAACCACAGGACTTTGTCCCGAGGTTGCTTGGTGTCTGCTTCCCATTATATTTAGTGTGCTTGTGGGGGTGGCACTAGGGATTGGATCAGGGCCTTTGCCCTAAACTACCTTACCAGCTCTTTTTAAATTTTTTTTCCGTAATTTTATTGAGAGTGAAATAGCAATGAGACAGTTTCAAATCAAATTCCCTTTTTAAATTTTCAGACAATGTCTTGCTAACTTGCTAAATTGCCCAGCTGGGGTCAAACTTGCAACCCTCCTGCCTCAGCCTCCCAGGGCTGGGACTGCAGGCGATCCGCTGCTGCTGTCTGTCTTTGCAGCACCTCCAGCGCGAGGTCTCTGCTGATAGAGGGAGGATTGAGGACCTCGGGGGCTCAGTAGTGCGTGCTCATCAGTGGTAGCCGCAGGGTTGCCTTCTGTCACTTCCAAGTCACCTCAGCCTCATGCCTTGTGGGAGGCCTCACTGGGGTCTGTGTCCCTTGTCTCGGGAGTGAGCTGGCCAGCTGGCCCCTGCACATGTCACACTATCATGCAGGCCCATCCGTAACAGCAGGGATGTGGCCAGGTCCCTGCTGTGTGGCCGGTGCTCGGTGCCGCTCCTGGGCTGCCTCCACCTAGCATTCCAGCCCCACCTGGGAAGCGTGTCCACTGCCCTGCACAGCCTCCGCTGCCCCCTCTGCCTGCAGTGCTGTCCCCGGGCCTCCTTGCCAGGCAGCTGTCAGAGCCACTTTTCCTTCCTGTCCCCTCTCCTGCCAGAGCCAGAGGCCCCTGCTCGCCAGAGCTTGTGCTTCATGAAACGGGCCAGGGGCTTCTCCCGTCTCATTAGCAGTGGTCGCATGTGATTCTGTTGGTTTTGTTTGTTTGCTTGTTTTTTGTTTTTGAGACAGGGTCTCACTATGCAGTCCAGGCTGCCTGGAACCCACTGCAGTCCTCCTGCTTCTGCCTCCTGTGTGCTGGGCTGCAGGCATGCAGCAGCTGTGTGTGCGTCCTGGCCCTGCCCCTGCCTCCCTGGATGCCCCATGCACCTCCCGCACCTGACACCCCATCCCTCTGCATTCCAGGGGCGCCCCTCTTCCTCTCCCACCCGCACTTCTACAATGCGGACCCGATCCTGGCAGAAAGCGTGCTTGGCCTGCACCCCAATGCAGAGGACCATGCCCTCTTCTTGGACATCCACCCGGTGAGCCCCGCAATGGCACTGAGGTGACGGCCACCTCTGCTGCACTCACACTGCAGGCATCTGGGCTGGTGGTGGAAGCTGGTGCCTCGGATGACGACAGCTGCTAGAACAGCAAGCCGACCAAGGTCGTCACTTGACCCCAACTCCATAGTCCAGGGATTTTATCACAGACCCTTTATGAGTATCTATAAAGAGCCATCAGACAGTAAATTAATTAGGAATTATCAGGCTCCGGCTAATTAGCCAGGCACCCTCGGCTGTGCCAGACGCAGTAAAGATGGGTAGGCGCACCTCGTGCATGAGTCACGCGCTCAAGGAATTTGGCCCGGGGGACGTTCTGGCTCCCAGCAGTCACCTGTGGGATGAGACCTGTGGTCCTCAGACCCCTGCTTGCCATAGGACATGTCCAGCGGCATTTGGTGGCGCCTGAGACCAGTAATTTGGACACGCATGCGGGGGTGGGTGGGTGCTGTTCTGGTCTTCAGGGACGCTTGTGTTCCCCTCTAGGATTCCTTGGTCCATGTGGCCTAGGGATCATGCCCAGGGCCGTCACACAGAGCTCTCACGCCAGCCCTTTGTATTTTTATTCTGGGCCTGGGTCTTTTTTGCTTAGTTGTCCAGGCTGGGCTCAAACTTGAAATCCCCCTGCCTCAGCCTCCCTAGAGTGCTGGGGTGTCAGGTGTGCACCAGCCCCAGCAGCTCCCCTTTTACCCCCCTTATAGAAAACAATTTTTGAAATGGAACAACAGAAAGCACATCTGTGTGAGCTGCTCAGTGGCTCCGCAGAGCTAATTAGCATATGCAAGCCCCACCCTTGGGGGGTGACTGGGTCCCAGCCACTTCCTGAGGCAGAATGTAGCACTGTTGATTTGGGCATGGTGAGATCAGAGCAGGAGGACACTGCCGCCAGGAGGTGGCCTGACCTCAGTGGGGACTGTGAGTGGCCTGGGGCCACCCTGCCTTGGGTATATGCTGCAGTGAGGTAGATGTCCATGGCCCCGAGGGCGGCCATACCATGCACCTTCACGTGCCCTGGCAAAATTCCTGAGGTGGATGCAGTAAATCCCACTTTATTATTTATTATGTATTTAGTAGAAGGTCTCGCTACACAGATCAGACTCATAGAGATCCTCCTGTTTTCTGGGTTCAGGCACATGCCACCACACCCAGCGTGCCCCGGGGGTGGGGCCAGCATACCACACTGGGGATCGAACCCTGGTCCCTGTGTCTGCTTAAGCAGGTGCTTTAATCCATTGAGCTATCTGGCCGGCCCTTTTTAATTTTTTTGTTTCTGTTTTTTATGTATTTGGTACAGGGTCTCAGTACATACCTCAGACTCATAGTGATCCTCCTGTTTTTAGCCTCTCAAGCACTAGGATTACAGGCATGTGCCACCACGCCCAGACAGTCACCAGCTCATCTGCCCTGGGGATGGGGCTGGCACTGCATGTGGGACTGGGGATCGAACTCTGGTCCCTGCACTTGCCAAAGCAGGCGCTTAGCCTGCTGAGCTATCTCACCGGCCCTTAACCTCACTTTGTAAAGAAGAAGGAGGAGGTCCTCGCTAGGGAGCGCCAGCCAGCACCCCCCCTTCTGTCATGGACCTTCCTAACCTTTTTTTTTTTTTTAATTTATTTTTTAATTTTATTTATGTGTGTGTGTGTGTGTGTGTGTGTGTGTGTGTGTGTGTGTGGCCAGCTCAGCCCACCAGGGGGCGGGCTGGCTGGCATGTGGTGCTGGGGGATTGAACCGCGGTCCCTGTGCTTTGCATACCTAAGCTTGTTCTAAGTAGGTGCTTTAGACCACTGAGCCATCTCACCAGCCGTATAGAAATATTTTTAAATGAGACTTTCTTTTTAACTATTAACAGAGGGGCTGGTGAGATGGCTCAGTGGTCTAAAGCACCTACTTAGAACAAGCTTAGCAGAGCACAGAGACTGCGGTTCAATCCCCCAGCACCACATGCCAGCCAGCCCGCCCCCTGCTGGGCTGAGCTGGCCACACACACACACACACACACACACACAAACTTTAAAAAATTAAAAAAATATTTCTATAAATAAAATAAAAATATTTTTAAAAATATTTCTAGGGGCTCAGTGGAGTAAGTGCTTCTCTGGCAAGCGCAAGGGCCTGGGTGCAATCCCTGGTTCCACAAAAAAAAAAAAAAAAAAAATCTGCATAAAGGAAGCTTTCTGTTACGTCAAGAAAGAAGTGACAGGGACTGGGGAGATAGCTTGGTGGTCTAGGTGCGTGCCTAGCAAGCACATTACCCCGAGTTTGATACCTGGTACTGTGCTAGCCCTCAAACGGGGCGTGGTGGCGCACTTCTGTAATCCCAGCTCTGGGGAGGCTGAACTTCGTAGTGAGACCCTGTATCAACAAATTAAAAAAAAAAAAAAAAAGGAAGTGACAAACTCCTACAAAGGGTTAAAAAAAAAAAGTCATATAAATAAACACTAGGAACAAGCAATTACTGAGCTCCTCGTAAGCGGCACTAAAAATAGGAGAGGAGGGGAGGGAGAGAGAGAGAGAACTGGAACTGGAAAGGTGATGCAGTGTGAAGGTCCTGGATTCAATTCCCAGGTCCCAGGGCTGTCTGTGGCTTCCCATCTGAGCCCCTGCAAAGTAGGGCGGCGTGTGGTGTGATGCGGCGGTCAGGAGGGGGCACCCGAGAGCCATCTTCCTTAGGCAGAAGGAAAAGAAGCGCATTTCCTGGGGGCCTGGGGAGTCAGTGGAGACTGGGGGGGTGGCTGCAGGAGCCTAGCTTGGGCCTCGCCTGTAGTCGGGGAGGTGCAACAGGGCCGCCTCTGAGCGTGGGGCCGGCGCCCACCCAGGACAGGATCGGGCCAGCGCGGCCGCTCACCATCCTCTGCCACAGGTGACCGGGATCCCCATGAACTGCTCCGTGAAGCTGCAGCTCAGCCTCTACATCAAAGCCATCAAGGGCATTGGGTGAGTGGCGCAGGGGCTGCGGCCCAGACTCCGGGGACGCGGTGCGGAACCAGGCGAACCAGGCGAGGATCTGTCCCTGCCCTCTTTCCTCGAGGGCCAGCCCGCGCAGCTCTGCCCCCAGCACCCCTTTCACACAGTCCCCTTCTTTTGTCATGTCTCCCTGCCCCCAAACCAGGCCAAATCTTCTGTCCTACCTGTCTCCCGCTCTGCAGTGTGGAAAAATTAAGGCCTGACCGAAGCAGGTATTTGAAAAATGAAAATGTACCGAACAGTGTTAAGTCCAACGGCTCACTTTACAGAGCAATTCTGTTAAGCACCTGACTTTTATATCCTCATTTTTAGCTTTTAAAATAACAGGGTTAAACCAGGCATAGTAGCGCATGCCTATGACCCCAGCACTCGGGAGGCCGAGGCAGGACTGTTGTGAGTTTGAGGCCAGCCTGGGCCACACGGTAAGCTGAAGGCCAGCCTGGACCCCAGAGCAAGATCCTGTATTGACAGCAAACACCTAGCTTTCTGGAGATACGATTCAGGGACCGTAACCTCACCCTTTTCAAGTGTACAATTCAGTGACTTGCGCTCAGCTCTCAGAGGTGTGCATTCCACTCCAGAATGTTTTCCACACCCTTAAATGAAACCCACGGCTCCTTAGCAATTCTCCCCCAACCCCCAAGGCAGAGGAGACCCCTCTCTGCTGTCATCGTGAGTGTGCTCCTCCCAGACATGTGACACAGATGAGTGGCCCACTACGTGGCCTTTTATGTCTGGTGTCATTCACTTTTTTGTGTGTGTGTGAAACCGGGGATTGAACTCAGGCCCTTGCGCTTGCCAGACAAGCACTTATTCCACTAAGCTATCTCCCTGGCCCCGTGTCATTCACTTTGTATCCTGTCTTCAACCATCTGAGTTGTAGCAGGTGTGTTATTTTTCATGGTTGTGTAATACTCTACCTGGGAGGCTGACCTCATGTTATGTGTGGGTGGATGCCGGGCCACACTTCTTGCCCATGGTGACTTGTGTGGCTGTCCTCCTTCACCTGTCGGGAGTGGACATGTGCTCATTTCACCTGCCTGTGGCTAGCAGAGGGGCCGTGGGGCACGGAGCTCTGTCTCAGCAGTGACAACCGCACAGGACAGGCCTGGGATCAGGAGGTGGGTGGCCTGGGGGCTGTGATCTGATCGTCACAGCTACCCTGCATGGCCTGCAGATCCTCAGTCCTTGCCTAAGCCCTTGAGGCCACTGTTCTACCAGTTTGTCTTGTGGCAGGCGACACAGGGACGCAGCATGGCCAGGTGAGTTGCCCAGGCCGCAGGGCGCACATCACAGGGACCCATATTTGTTCCCAGTGTGTGTCCAGTAGGAGCTGAAGGGGCTGGCACAAGGCCCGGGGCCTCCCGCCCCACTCTGGACCCCTGCAGTAATCCCAGGTCACGAGCACCAGGTGGAACCGGGTCTTAAATCTTTGAGAGGATGTTAGGAGTCAGACGGGGGAGGGGAGCATGGCCGCTCTCTCAGTATATTCACAGTCCAGGGTTCTCCATCTGTCCCCTCCAATGCCCTAGCACAAGGTGGCCACGCTAAAGGTCATTTCTGGCTTAAATGGCTGCCATAGGTCCAGATATTGCATCTGTATCCCAGGCAGCTGAAAGGAGGAAAGGAAAAAGTGTGCTGGGCACGGTGGTGCACACCTGTAATCTCAGTGTTCAGGAGGCTGAGGCAGGAGAATCGCCACAAGTTCAAGGCCAGCCTGGGCCACACAGGAGACCCTGCCTCAAGCAGCAGAAACAACAGAAAAGGAACAAGTGTTCACCTCGTGGCTATCCTACAGAGGCCTCTGCGCCCCCACGGCCCCGCGGCTGCCCCCACGGCCCCGCCGCTACACATGCAGCGCCCTGCAGACCCAGGAGCCCTCCCTCGCCCTCGAGCTCACCAGGGCACAAGTGCTCACAGCGTGTCTCGCTTGCTTGCAGGCAAACAGGGAAGATCCAGCCAGTGGTCCTGCCGCTGCTGTGGTTTGCGCAGGTGAGGGGTGTTGGCAGCAGTGACTGGAGCCTGGGAGGAGGCCAGGTGCAACCAAGGCAGGACCCTTGGGAATGGTTTTCTTTCTTTCTTTCTTTCTTTCTTTCTTTCTTTCTTTCTTTCTTTCTTTCTTTTTTTTTGGAACCGGGGATTGAACTCAGACCCTTGCACTTGCCAGGGAAGTGCTTATCCTACTGAGCCATCTCCCCAGCCCCAAAATTTTATTTACTTGTGTGTGTGTGGCCAGCTCAGCCCACCAGGGGGCGGGCTGGCTGGCATGTGGTGCTGGGGGATTGAACCGCGGTCCCTGTGCTTTGCATACACTTGTTCTAAATAGGTGCTTTAGACCACTGAGCCATCTCACCAGCCCCGGGAATGGTTTTCTTAGTGCTGTGCCTGTTTGCAGAGAAAGTCCCTGGTCGCTGGTTTTCAAGGAGTCCTCTTTTCCCTCAAGCCTGTCCTAGCCTCGCAAGTTTGTTTTTTCTCCCCCCACAAGTTTGTTTTCTCTTTTTCCTTCCTTCCTTCCTTCCTTCCTTCCTTCCTTCCTTTTTTTGAGACAGGGTCTCGCTCAGTTGTCCAGGTGGGGGCTTGAACTTGCGATCCTTTTGCCTCAGCCTCCCAGACTGCTGGGATGACAAGCATGTACCACTAATTTATATTTTATGTTGTTTTATTGCACTATGCTACTTCTGGTCTACCTAGATTCAAGCTAGGCTTTGCTAGGCCGGGACAGACAGCTAAGGGTGAAGTTCATGATGCTCACAGTCCCTAGGGAGGGTGGCAGGAGGCGGAGCCTTGCTCCATTCAATCATTCGGGGCCCGAGACGCTTTCGGTTCCGTGGCCCCGCCCCCGGAAGTCTTCAGACTCCGTTTGGCTGGGAAAAGAGATGTTGTCACGTGGGGAGGTTTGGTGGCCCAGATCGACTGCTCATTGGTCAGAGCTTGATCACATGGGCATATATAACTGCAAGGGACTCTGGGAGATGTAGTCCTCTCGAGTGCCTTGTAAGTGGATTGCTTGGTCCAGAGAGCCCAGAAAGAAGGGGATTGGGGCGGGGCGGCGTGGTACCTGTAAACCCCGTCCCAGCTCTTTGTCATTCCGCCTTCTCAGAGCGGGGCCATGGAGGGCAAGACGCTCCGCACGTTCTACACGCAGCTGGTGCTGACCCCCAACATCCTGCACTATATACAGTACGTGCTACTGGCGCTGGGCTGCGCGCTGCTGCTCATCACTGTCGTCTACCAGGTCCGCAGCCAGGTAGGTGATCCGGCGGGGGCGGGCAGGCTCAGGCTCAGACTTTCCTCCTGCGGCTTCGCACCTGTCTCACCTGCGATTCCACCATTTCCACCTGTCCTGGAAGGCCTGGGGCGCTCCCTGGGGCATGCAGGGGCTTGGGTACCAGAGGTCTTTGGGGAGCACCACAGGTGCAAGACCTGCAAACGGGAAGATCCCGCTGAAGCGGAGTGCGCAGGTGGCCACAAGAGCCAGGGACGTAGGCAGAAGATGATTTTACCCAAAATAAAGCTGAAAAGAAACGTGATGAGCTAGAGCCTGCGCTGCGGGTGAGCCCAGTGTAGGATCCTCAGATTTCTGGCATGGATGTCAGGGAGCGAGACCACCAGCCTGTGCAAAGGCCCTGGGGCAGGGACCCTGGGGACCAGGCTGAGCCAGGTGGTTGAGGAGGCGGCCATGCAGCCCCACCAGGCAAGGCAAGCAGCGTGGGACCAATTTCCACCATGAGCACAGGCCGTGGGAGGCCTTCCAGGGAGAATCGCGAGATCCCCGCCTGGCACTCGGGGCCTGGGTTGGAAGAGCTGGAGGTGGAGATTTTAGGGGAAGGGGGTGGTGCCTCTCCGAGTAGGTGGCAGCTTACACCAGAGAGGGCACAGCTGAGCAGGCCCGCCCTGGACTCCCAGCTTCAGCGGCAGGAACAAGACGGAGGGCGACAGATCCACTTTTTTCTTGGCCATTTGTCTGCAGTACACAAATGAGCAGGCAGTGAGGTCCAGCAACAAGGATTGTGCATGGCCAGCCTTTATGCAGAGCAGGTCGCTGCGGTCACAGGGTGACCGGGAGGGTGTGGCCACAGGGCTCAGGCAGAGGACACAGACACACCGCTCTACTCCAGGGCACTGTTGGGAAGGGCCACTTTGGAGTGGTGGGTTAGGAGCCTCTGTGCAGGGCCCCGCTGAAGGGGGCCGAGGCCTTCCCGGGCCAGGCTGTCGCCCACTGCTGCTCCAGGCCACCTCTCCTGCTTTCCCCGCTCCCCCTCTGAGCACACCTGTGAGCGTGCATGCTTGCTGCAGGCTGGTGAATCTCTCTCTACACCTGTTCCGAAAGCCCCAGCCTGTGGTGTGTGGCTGGTGGGGCCACCAGCTCTGGTCACATGGCTGCCGGGAGCACTGACCCCTGACGGGCTGATTCTGAGCCGCTTCTGCTGCTGGGCAGGAAGCCATGGGCCAAGCCTGGCCGGATCCAGCCACAGAGGGCGCCCCCACGGTGTCTCTGTGCACCATACCACTGAGCTCCTCCCCAGCCTTGGAAATTTCTAGACGGGATCTTGCTATGTTGCTCAGGCTGGCCTCAAACTTGCCATCCTCCCAACTCAGTCTCCTGAGGACTAGAGTTACAGGTGTGTGACATCCACGCCAGCTCCCAGGGTACCTGGACTGGACCGGGCAGGCAGAACCTGGCACCTGTAGTCCACTGTGGCAGGAAGATCACAAGTTCAGGCCCAGCCTGGGCAATTTAGTGATTTGGTTAGACTCCTCAGGGCAAAAGAGAGACGACAGGCCAGGCTCCCAGCCCAGGCTGGGCCAGAGTGAGAGGCAAATCTGCTTTGTCCTGGGGCTTCTTCTGCCCCCTCCCAGGTCCTAAGAGAAGCAGGCTGAGGAAATGCTGGGGTCCCCAAGCGCTGTTGGCTCTGCTGCCCAGTGAGACCCTCTCCTCTGTCCCACTCTGTATGTTTGCCTGGTAAATGCATCATATTTTAATTTATTCTCAAGGCAGTTTTTATTCTAAATTCTTTTTAAGGAAATAAAACTGAAAAGTATTTTAAAGGGGGAAAAATTCCACCTCTGGTTGATGAAAATGCCTGTTACGTGCGACCCACCACCACGGGCCGGACCCGGGCTCCATGGCAAAGCGCAAGCCCAACCCTGGCTGCCTCTCCAGCACCCAGCTGGCCACCGCCACCCCCGCCGCACGCCCTCCTCCCCGCAGCAGCCCCTGTCAGGCCACAGGGCCCTTGGAGGCGGGGCGCCCCGCCCGAGGGTCCTGTCTCCTGTCCTGGTCACCTGGCCTCAGCAGCTTTGGCCCAAGGGGCTGTGGGTCCTGGATCTGCACCTTGCTGCCCTCTCTCTGCTTCTGGAAATGGAAGACCCCGATGGCCCGCACATGCCCACGCCCTGGTACTCTAAATGGGCTTGGTTGTCTTCCAGGAGAAGTGCTATTTATTTTGGAGTGGTAGTAAAAAGGGCTCGGGCACTAAGGCAGCCGTGCAGGCCTACTCTGAATCCCTGATGACTGCCGCTCCCAAGGGTGCTGTGCTGCAGGAGGCCCGGCTGTAGGTGGGTACCAGGTAACTGCCCATGCGTCCGCCTGCGGCCGCTGGTCCCCGCAGTGGCTGCCCATGGAGGATGCTGCTCGGGGCTCTCTGTCATCAGTTCCCAAGGAGTGGCCATACCTTGGATTTCTGGGGCCACTTGGGACTTCAGGGCTCCGCCCATTTGCATGGTCAGGTCAGAAGGGCAAGGCCAAGGTGGGACCTCACACCTGTGTGGCAGACCCCGCAGGAAGCTTTCTTCAGCTCGGGTCCTGGGACAGACTCCTGCAGAGTACCGGAGCACAGTGCCAGGGCTGAACCCAGGCCTTCTGACAGAGGAGCGCCAGCCCAGCCCTTGGCATTTTTATTTTGAGGCAGGGTCTCGCTAAGGTGCCCAAGCTGAACTGAGTTGGATCCTCTTGCCTCAGCCTTCCCAGTGGGAATTTGCTTTTTCATGGACCCCTAGGGATTCTGGGGCCAAAGGTCCAGGGAGCCGGGCGTGGTGGCACACACCCACAATCCCAGCATCCGAAGGCTAAGACAAGAGGATCACTGGGCATTGGAGGCCAGCTTGGGCTCCAGGGTTGAGTTCAAGGCCAGCCTGGACTGTAATAAGGAAACCCTGTCTCAAAACAAATCAAATAATAATAAAAACAAAGAAGAGGTCCAGGGACCCCTGTTTGAAAAACTTTGGCTTAAATCCGGGCATGCTGGCCTTGTCCAGGCACAGGTGTCCACAGCCGGAAACGTGGGTTGGGGTTGGGCCTGAGGATCAGGTGTCTGGGTTGTGGGAAAACAGAATGGAGCCAGATGTCCAGGTAAGCCTGCATTTCCGGTAAATATGACGACCTGGGCAGTGTGTGTCCCTGCAGGCGTGGCTTGCCTCGTATTCACGGAGCCCCTGGCCTGGCCTCAATGCGGCCACCCTCCTACGGGAGCCCTGGGCCTGCGCCATCCTGTAGGGCTGAGTTTGGGAGGTGACGCCCCGCAGGCGCTGCTCTGGGGTCCCCAGCTGCTCTGAGATGGTGCTGTCACTACCGGCTTGCCAGCTGGGTGACCTCCAGTCCCCTTCTCCAAGGCTCCCCTGTGTCGCCATTCGGCAATGTCCCACTTGGAGCTGTGGGCCAGGACGTCCTTGGCCTGTGCTGGCTGCGGGTCCCCGAGAGTCCAGACAGAGCCCAGGAGTGGGAGGTCTGGGCCCTCGGCTGCCCCTCTGAGGACATAACCAGCTGTCTGGCCCCGCCTAGACCAGGGCAGAGCCCCTCTTGAGGGGTCCAGCTAGGAGGTGGCCAGGGAAGCATCCGACCCCACCCAGGGGTGACCCAGCCCTGGTGCTGTGGATTGGAGGGTCACAGTGTCCAGAGGATGGCTTTAGGTTAGGGGGCAGAGCTTGGAAGCTGACCCTGCAGGTAGCTTCTTACCCAGGCAGGCCTGCTCTTTGCTTGCACCTGCTTGTAGGGTGACCCAGAGACAGCCTTGCTTGGGAGAAGGGGAACAGGGCCCCTGCCCACCCGGAAGAGGCAACAACAGCACCAGTGGGCAGGCGAGGCTTGCTGCAGGCCGAGGGCCTGGCAGGCGGAGTGTCTGTCGGCTGGCCTTGTGCAGTGAGCAGCCCTTCAGGGAGCTAGTCTTGGGCCTCTCTGCAAGTCCTCTCTCGTGGGTTAAGCAGAGCCGGAAGGGAGCGGGAAGGATCGGCTTCCGTTCTGGCTGCTGTGGCTCCGTCACGTGGAGGGGATTAGTTTCCCTTTTTCCTTCTGAGTGTGGCTTTCTCACGAGGGCCCCCGACTGCCACGTGGGGGCTGTGGGGCAGGTGGTGACAGTGCAGGAAGCCCTTGGTCTGTCCCCTGCGCCCCCCTCCCTTCTTGGGGCTTCCAGGGACAGGTGTGTCGAGGAGGTGTGGCAGGGTGAGGACAGAGCTGCCGCCTGTTGTCTCCAATCCTCATTGTTTTAAGCTGAGAAACTTTAAGAGTGTGGGGCTGGTGAAGCGCAAGCCTGTGTTCTCCGTGTTCCTCCCCTCTCCTGGGCCACTGCTGCCCTGTGACAGGAGATGGCCGTCACTGGCTGACCGTAGCCCCGCTCACCGGTCCACACCGCCTCCCTCCCCGCACCACCCCACTGTGGTCCAAGAACGCAGCACTGCTGGGTGTGGTGGCGCACACTTGTCATCGAGGGACTTGGGAGGCTGAGGCAGGAGGATCGCTGTGAGTTCAAGGCCAGCCTGGACTGCATATGGAGACCTTGTCTTAAAAACACCAAACCAAAACAAAAAAAGAGCATGTCACCCCTCCGTGGACAGTGAGGTCCTTTCCTGGTGTAGACAGAGCCTCCTGCTCTGCCAGTCCTAGGCTCCTGGCTTCATCCTGCTCACTGGGTCAGGCAGGTCTCTTTGGGCCTCAGTTTCCCTGTTCCTTTAGGGAACAGAAGGGGACCTTCCTTGGCAGGGATGTGGGCTGGGCCAGGTAGCCGGTGATGGCAGTGACCCGGTTCCTCTCCCCACAGGGTTGCAAGGACGCCCTGGGCCAGCCAGGTGGGGCCCCCTGGTCGGAGGGGCCGCCCAGCCCCCGCACGCCCCTGCTGCAGGAGCCATCGCCCCAGGCCCTGGCCTGAGCCTGCCGTGGCTGAGCAGGGTCACTTAGGGATGGAGCCACCTGGGACCAGAAGCGGCTTGGTGTCGTGCGCTGTTCTGGAAGCTCCTCTGCCAGGGCCACGGCAACCTGCACACCACATCTCTCCCTTGGGCGTGCCTGGCCTGGTCCGTGTCACCAGCTTGTGACAGTTATCATTCTGGTCCCCTCCTGTCCCGCAGGACATGTGCAGCTCCACCAGCCACCTGCCTGTGTGAGGTGGGCCACAACCCAGGGCCAGGCCCACCCTGAGCCCAGCTGTGCCTCCGTGCCAAGGCCAGGCTGTTGGGGCCCAGGACTTGAGGGGACCAGGTACCTGCAGTGGCCGCCCTGTCCCCACCCCAGGTGCTGGGGTCCAGAGGAACACACGGGCACTGGCTGGGGTCTGGGTCCTCCCTGGCCACTGACAACATGCTGCGTACTGAGCCCCCCAGCTCTCAGGGCCCCTGGGGAGAGGGCCCAGGGCCTAGCCTGGTGGTCTCTGGGCATCCCCAGGAATAGGGGGACCCTGCACCCCACGCCAGGTCCCTGGACACGCCCTTGTCCCTTTTCTACTGGAAGAGAAATGAGTTTTACCATCTTACAGCGACCTTACCGTGAAAGCAATAAACCTTTTACAGAAGTGAGTGCAAGTCCTGGCTGTGTCTTCTGTCCTTGTGGGTACAGCCGCCCCTTGGCGTGGGGTTTGTCACCCAGGCTGTGTGCGTGGGGTGTGGACAGCGTGTGACCCTCGGAGCCGGTCCCACAGGCCCAAGCACCCTCCCAAGGTCTCACATGACGTGCACCTTTCCTGGTTCAGTCCCTGGAAGCTGGGAGAAGCTGGGAGCATAGACCCGGCCGTGTAGTATGAGCAGCACCTTGGGAGGCTGAGGCAGGAGGATCGCAAGTTCCAGCCCAGCCTGGGCAGTTTAGCAACCGGACATGCTCCAACTCACAAGTGAAAGGGGGCTGGGTTGGAGCTCAGAGCCAAGGCCCCAGATTCTGCCCTAATACTGTGTGGATTCTTTTTATCTGAAGTTCAAATAGTTGCAAGGCTGACACCCCAGCCCTCCCCCATTTCAGCCACACTGAGAACTCGGTGGGTGGCTCCGTGTTCTACCTTTCCCCCTCCATTTGCATGCCCCTGCTTCTCACCCCAGAGCATATCTGAAGGTTTTACAGCAGATGCCTTAATGCGGGTTTTGTGGGTTTTATTGAGCTCAGGCCCTTGCAGGGAAGCGCTTATTCTGCTGAGCCATCTCCTGGCCCCTCTTCATGCATTTTATTAACCACTCAGATTGCTTTCCCAGCAACCTAAATATGCAGATAAGGTACACTGAACATTTTTAGTATTTCTTGTCATTGTTAAGGATATGGGGCCGGGGAGATGGCTCAGTAGAATGAGCACTTGCCTGGCAAGCGCAAGGGCTTGAGTTCAATCCCC